TAGATTTGACATTTGAGAATATCTGGATTCATGACAGATGAATGAACAATAATTTCTCTTATCTCATCTGCCTCTTTTCATATGAACAAGAACATGTTCGTTTTTTGGTAGGGTGGCACACGCACAAAAAAACATAAAAAAACATTCCAATTCAACACAACTTTTTGTTACTGCTTTGTGATGGTAGTAATATGTTGGAGACTTAGAATATTGATCTTTTTCTTTTGAATATTACGGATACTTTTTAGTTTAGTCTTGTAATTGTAGATCAACTATCAAGTAATTGTCTATTTTATGGCTGTGAATATTAAAACGTGTTTGGTCTTTTGTGTTTTAAGTTTGAAATTTCGTGCCACTAATCATGCGTTTGTTTTTCAAAATAAAAAGATGATTAAAATATCAGTTCTTAAATTTTAATACATTATTTTAGGAGTCCGTTAAGTTGGACAATAGGGATTGCAGACCACTTAAAATTGATCATCTTGCTCCTAGTTTTAACAAAACCTACAATTTAACAATTCAACAAATACGAAATAAAGTAAAACCTACAACCTCTTGAAGAATAAACAAAAATTAAATAAAAATGTTGAACTAAATGAAACATTTGGAAATAATTAGAGATTGCATTCGTAAAAACAAAATAGCAACAAGCCATCAATGTTCATTCATGTTGCGTTCTGGCCTGATTCATCTTGACTTGCAAATTTGTCTAAACACCAAGACATTTATTATCGACTTTTCGAACTTTCAACCGACTTCCACCCTCCATCATATCGTGATGGTTCGGGAGGAAGCAACATGACGTGATGATGAATAATGAGCATAGTTTCAAACTATGGTCATCCCTACGATCGATTTGTGGCAACAACAAGGCACTTATTGAGTTTGTGGCCTGACGCACGGTAGAGCTCTCAAACCATATGAGGGTGTTCTATTCTATGAACATTAAAACATATTAGTTCCTTAAAATTTTGTCATCTTTTGTTTTGTTCAAAATTTTAGTTTTGCCACTTTCTCTTTCAATCAATTAATTTAATTCTCTCCTTTACACAAATCTCAAACACACAATTTTTACTTTATTATTTCATGTGCATATCGATCAAATTTAGCAAATTTTTAAAGGACAGATGAAGTATATTTAGTGATACTTGGTAGTTAGTACTAACTCTTCCAATAATAATTTGATTAAAAAGTAGAGGGAAAACTATCAAATAAGCCCTCAACTATATCGAAAAAGTCAATTAGGCCCTCGTACTTTAAAAACACCCAATTGTATCCTTAAACTATACAAAAATGTTCAATTAAGCCTTTTAATAGGTAAATTTACCGATTCTTCCGGTTAAATGTACATGTGGCATCGACATGGCACCCCCCCCCCTCTCCTCTTTAATTATTTTAGGTATGACTAAAGCTCAACGAGTTTCTCAATCTATGACCTAACTAGTTTTCTTCCCAAAATAATTATAAAATTCATAATATTTAATAAAAATTCGTAATTAATAAATGATAAATAATTTTGGAGGACAAATATACCCCTTTAGCTTATACCTATAAAATCCTAATCTTCTTCCCTATTTTTAGGATCTGGATTCTCTGCCTTATTTTGGCAGTAAGGGACGGTGCGTGGCTTTAATAGCCACCCGATTCAACCAAAGCAACCCCACAACTTCTCCTCCCCTTTGTTCCTGTTGTTGGATGCCGCAAGGCACCTCTGCCGTGCGGCAGAGGATCCAAATCCCTATTTTTACAACCCTAGCTACACCTCCTAACTCCCACCCACGCACAACCACCAGCCGTCTAGCCACCGCCCGCAGTCGTCCAGTGCCGCCGCCTTCCACAAAGAGCACATTCACCTTCTGTCCAGCTGCCTGCCACCGCCTACCAGTCGTTCACAGGGCGATGTTTTTCACGCTAGCGCTGGAGATCCAGATTTGTCCAACCAAATTGGGGATCGAAACTTGGGCAACACGAGAAAACCGCTCGAGGGATTACGTATGAAGGGAGGACTTGACTGGAGATGGAGCTCCAGTCCGTGTGGCATGCGGCAACTTCGACCCTGGCTGCAAAAGAGAGCGTCCATGGTGCGGTGAGTACTCTAGGAGGAGTTTGCTTGGAGCGATTCAAAAAACACGATCAATTTCAGACCTCTGCAACAACAAAATGGGAGAATATGGGTCTTCTTCAAGGCGAGAGGAATGCCCTGTGACACAGATTGCTTTTGAGAGTAATTTTTTTTATTGAGAGTTGGAATTGAAATTGATTTTTGTATGGAGAGTAATTTGTTGAAAACTTGGAACACGAACTTGGCACTACCTCGATTTTTCTTCTTCCCCTTTATGAATTTCTTGGGCAGTGAATATGTGGTGTGAAAATGGGCATTGAATATCTTAATGAATGCATTAATAAAATTTGTTGTGCACTGATTATGTCCAGCAGAGCCATTAACACAGCGCAATAATGTCGTCATGAAATGCAATATACGAAGTACTTGATTTGATTAGATGTAAAATAATAAAATTATTAAATCTAAAAAATAAAAAAAAATAAAAAACTACAAATAAATTCCTAAAGTGTATGAGAAAAGAATTAATTTTGGCGGAAGTGCAGTGATAATTATTATCACATGTGCAGTAATGTTGTGCAGTAATGTCGTGCATTAACGAAAATATAAAATGCAGTAATTTTAATTGGACGAAATTAGTGTAAAATGCACATATTTTAAATAAGGGTATTCTTGTCATTCAACATTAAAATATAAACGAAATTATCTTTTTTTTTTGTATTTTCGGTCATAGAAAAGTCGAAAAACATAGTTAGTCATATTTAGAGAAACTCAATGAGTTTTAGGGGGTGTTTGGATCTGATTCTCAAAACTGATTCTGCTCCTTCAGGGAGCAGAAACAGAAGCTGAAGTGTTTGGGTGAAATTCCAGAAGCACTTCTGGAGCTCTAATTTACTCTCAGAATCAGTTTTTTTAGAAGCTGGGGATACCAGCTTCTGAAAACTGATTCTGATTCTGCTTCTGCTTTTAAAAAAAAAGCAGAAGCAGAATCAGTTCCAAACACCCCTAGTCATCTTCCGATAAATTTCCCTCCTCTTTTATTTCATTTTCTTTCTTTTTCTTTTCTCTTTTTCTTTCCTTCCTCCTTTCTCCCGTTTCCTTTCTTCTCCGTTTCTTCCCAGATTGCAAATATTATTTCCTTCTTCCTTTCTAACTTTCTTCCATCCGGACATCCAGTCCAGTTTATTCTTCTCCAACGACTGCAAAATACTATGTATTTCTTTCTTCTTTTCTAGCTTTCTTTCGGTCCGATTTATTCTTCTTCTCCCTATTGCTTTACTCGCCGGTTTCTGTTCTCCAGAAAATTTATCTGCCACCATCCAGCAAGGCACCTGCAAGGTTGCAACGGAGAAATGGAACTACTGAGACATCTTCTTACCACTTCAAAGAAAAGCGACGGCGACAATATACCACGTATAAATAAAAATTTGCCGGCGAGAAAAACTGAGAAAGGACAGCGGTGATGCCCCCAACGCCGGAGAAGATTGTAAATGTGAACGATGGCAACGAACGGCGACAATATGCTCGAACCCCAACAATGGCGTCGGATTTCACTGGAGATGGTGGACGGAGTCTCCGGCGCTGGTGGCAACTGGCAAGTCTCGGAAGTATTGCTGCGAGCGGATCTACGAAGAGAAAGATAACAGCGAAAAGAAAAAGAAAAGGAAAAAATATAAGGGAAAAGAAAAATATTTCCACGTGGATGCCACATGTACGTTTAACCTGGAAACTGGTTACATATATACCGACTATGATGCTTGATTGAACGTTTTCTAATAGTTCGAGGATTTAATTGAGTGATTCTAAAGTACGGGGGCCTAATTGACTTTTTCGATATAGTACGGGGCTAATTTGATAGTTTTCCCAAAAGTAGAGGTGGATAGGTATTTACTACGTAGTATGCCTCTCTATTCCTAGTATGTGCATTGCAGGTTCACTCGAGGGTTTTCAGACTTATATTCATTCCGATTATTTTTAGTGTTACATTAAATCAAATTAAGTTATGTTGTGTTTAAGTAGGGGTGGACTCGGGTTGGGCCACCCGGCCCGGTACCTGGTACCCGGTCTTGGGTCCGGTTCGGGCCAACCGGAACCGCCCTAATCTCGGTGCGGGCTCGGGCCCCCTAAAATGCGAACCGGCATGGCCGGTTCGGGCCTTTTTTTTGTTTTTCAATTTTTTTTGTATCTACCGGGTTGGGCTGAGTGTTTTGGGGGTGGGGGGTGAAGGGGGGGTCGGGGGTTATTTAGAAAATCAAAAGAAAGTAAAAAAAATAACATCGAACCGGAACCGGCGGCTACCCGGGCCGGTTTCGGTTCCACCATTCCCAAATAAAAGCCCGGTCGGGCCCAGGCCCGACCCGGAACCGGCCCGGGTCCATCCCTATGTTTAAGTGGTTTGGTTTAGCTCGAACCAAGCCCAAATAAAATTGTCGACTCTTAAGATTAGGATGGAAAAAGGAAAGAAATATTTTACTTCACTCTCCCACATTTAGAATTCCTTGGTTGATTCTAAATTTTAAAGCAAAGAATCTGGTGTCGCTAATAAAATGGACTCCCTGGAAAGAGACACCTGGTTTCTGGTGTGGTGTGTATCCAGAAAAATTAAAATACTTCGTATTTTGTAGCAAACAAGCAAACATTTTTCATTTTGTTTGTACAAATGCTGCCCACGTTTACTACTCCATCCGTCTCTTTTTGTCTAGTCAATTTTGATTTTTGAAGTTACATAAGTTAAATTTTGATCGATTGTATACATATATACGATAATATTGATAATATGAAAATGATATGAAAATATTCGTTATTAAAATACTACTCCGGTATTATAAAAAATATAAATTTATTAAGTTTCACATAAATATATTAGTGAAAATAATGAATTAAAGTTTATTACCATCTTTGCAAAAGTCAAAGATGACTAAAAAAGAAAGGGGTATAATTTACATATAACAAATTTTGCTGCATACAACAACCGAGATTAAAAGAAAGGTACAACATTTCTATCATCACTTCTATCCGCAGCTTACTGAGACAAATTAAGGGGTCAGTTTTCAGAAGCTGGTCCCCGCAGCTTCTAAAAAAACTGATTCTAGGAGTAAATTAGAGCACCAGAATCACTTCTGCACTTTCATCCAAACACTCCAGCTTCTACTTCTACTCCCTGAAAGAGCAGAAGCAGTTTTAAGAATCAGATATCCAAACACCCCCTAAGTTGTGATGGTAAAAAAGATTATTTTCAAATAAATATTTAAATAACTTTTCTAAAAAAATCGGTTTTCTGTTTAAATTTAAATGGGGTTGGGCCTTATATATATGGCCCCTAGGCCCTAGTTACACCCCAATCCACATTAATATAAACTCAGAAGTTCATTATTATTATTATGATAATAATAATTATAACGATACTAATAATAATAGTAATAATAGTAATAATAGTAATAATAATAATAATAATAATAATAATAATAATAATAACCTAAAAGCAATGCTATTTTCCCTTTTTGGGGAGGGGTCTGGGTAAATAGTGCTGGAACCGGCGGCCTCATGAATTGAAGTTTCAAACCCAAGAGCTCCCGTATGAGTCGACGACAAGTTGAACTAGACCCACTTTCCTTCTTTAGCTTGGAAGTGCTTTAAACTAAAGCATGCTTGAAAATATTATTTCCCAGGGAGTACTTTTTTTAAAACTAAGCAAATACAACAAAACACAATACAGGTATATGGTTGTAAAAAAACCTTCGAAAAGGCAGTTTGTAATAGAAAAATTGCAATAGAAGCTGTCATGATGTCTACGTTAAACCTTTGCCGTTTCTTCAAACATGAGAGGGTTCTTTCTCTCTATCGACCTTCTTAGGTAATTGTATTTTATTTGCAACTACTTTAAATTTTTTGTGTTTATATGCATGTATATCTCCAATTCAAATATGAAATTATCTTCTACAAAAATGGGAATTCTTCTTGAATGAGTGTAAATGCATGAACTTATAACATTCTCGGTCACATATGTTCTCTTCCTTTTTTCATTCATTTCTTGATTAATTGAATGAATGCATATGCAATTCAGTGGTAACTGGTATGTTTTTGAAGATCTCATGTTTCTTTCATCCATTGCAGCATAAACATCATCAAAGGTTTCTATTTAGAAACTTAGAGTATCCATGGAGGCTAGACTGCGATCCGCGTGAGTTCCTTTCTTCTTAGACTACTTTCATTCATTTCTGCAGCTACGCTAACATAGATTTCACCCCCACCCCACCCCCCTCGCCTGATGTTCAGAGACGATGTACACAAAAGAAAGCTGCAGAAAATCAAAGTTGAAGATGTGGTCAAGCCATTCCAACAACCCTTTCAAGAAAAGAGTACAAGGTTGAAGCTCCATCACCTCAAACTTCTCTTGTTTGTTTTGGTAATTGCAACTTTCATCATTCTTTTGGCCACCCCAAATGGTTGTAGCCGCTACAGCTCATCCCAACCTTCCAATAAGTAAGTTCACACTATTATTCATAGACTTAGACTTGCGTTTCTATACTACAAGTCAACTTGTGTTAGGAAGAAGAATCTGCAAACTTTAAATGAGACATATCCACCTTAGAGTAGTAAGACTAAAGTTGGCTGAATTACTGAAGTTGTAGTTGAAAATGTAGAATCATTAAAAAGTGGGATCTGATTTTTTTAGTTAAAAAATGGTTCTCTCTTCAACAAGTTTAGCCAATTCATCCCAAAAAATATCCTTAATCTTATCCTTTTTCATAATATACCAATTCAGCGCAAAGAATTAATATTTGTTAATGAATAGTTAAAGCTGAGAAACAATAGGAAAACATGTTAGTATGTTACCAAATGAGCATTTAAATATTATGCAGGCCTCATTTGGTGAAAAGGTGGTGGATTTGGGGGGTTCCAGATCCGAGATACATATCAGACTTAGTTGTAAACTGGGATGAGGTGTCCATTGCTGTCAATGAATTAGCAAAAAGTGAGAAGATCATAAGAACAGGTCTCCTCAACTTTGATGAGGATGAGATCAGGCAATGGAAACTGATGATTCCAGAAGCTAACCACACAGTTTTGCATCTTGATCATGTCGAACAGAATGTAACTTGGGAGACCTTGTATCCCGAATGGATCGATGAGGAACAAATGTATGAAACACCTAGCTGCCCTTCTCTACCAAAGCTTGACGTGCCTAGAAAACCGATCGATTTGATCGCAGTTAAGCTCCCTTGCAAGGGGAACTGGACTAGAGACGTGGCTAGGCTACACCTGCAACTCGCGACTGCTGGTTTAGCCTCATCTGCTAAAGGCACCCGCCCAGTACACTTGCTTTTCCTCACCCGCTGTTTCCCCATTCCAAATCTATTCACTTGTCAGGAGCTTGTTGCGCGCAAAGGCAACATTTGGCTGTACAAACCAAACTTGAATGTCATGAGACAGAAGCTCCAGCTCCCGGTAGGATCCTGTGAACTAGCCCTTCCATTTGGTGCCACAGGTTAGTCAAAACTCAGAATCTGTTTAGGCTCAGTTATGTTTGCTGATTCGACTTATTCTGCTTATAACTCACTTATTTACATAAAATGAATGCTATCAAATGTTTTTGTTTTCAGAAAATTCAACCACACACATGAGGTGGGGTGCAGTGAGTCTTACCTCACACTTATATATTGAACAGAATCTAATAATCATCTTTCCCAATGCACTTAAAATAAAGCTAATTCAGAATATAATAAGAGGAGTCTTGTTTCTAATACAATATTAAAAAAAACATACAGGAGTACTGGGGGAGCCCAAGCGTGAAGCGTATGCAACGATCCTACACTCGGCTTATGTATATGTGTGTGGAGCCATAACTGCAGCACAGAGCATCAGAATGGCGGGTTCAACCCGAGACTTGGTGATTCTTGTTGATAACACCATTAGCGAATACCACAGAAGTGGACTAGCAGCTGCAGGGTGGCAGGTCCGTACAATCGAGAGAATAAGGAACCCTAAAGCCGAGAAAGATGCATACAATGAGTGGAATTACAGCAAGTTCAGACTATGGCAACTCACTGATTACGACAAGATCATCTTCATAGACGCGGATCTCCTAATTCTCAGAAACATGGATTTTCTTTTCGGGATGCCTGAGATTTCTGCAACAGGGAATAATGGCACCCTCTTCAACTCCGGAGTGATGGTGATCGAGCCTTCCAACTGCACATTCCAACTCCTCATGGATCACATCAACGAAATCGAATCATACAACGGCGGAGATCAAGGGTACTTGAACGAAATATTCACCTGGTGGCACCGCATCCCGAAACACATGAATTTTCTGAAACATTTCTGGATCGGCGACGAACCAGAGGTCAAGCAGAGGAAAACAGAGCTGTTCGCGGCGGAGCCGCCTATCCTATACGCCGTCCACTACTTGGGATACAAGCCGTGGCTGTGTTACCGCGACTACGATTGCAATTGGAACGTGGACATTCTGCAGGAATTCGCGAGCGACGCAGCGCACGATAAGTGGTGGAGAGTGCACGATAGCATGGAGGCGGAGCTGCAGGATTTGTGCCTGCTGAGGTCGAAGCAGAAGGCGCAATTGGAGTGGGACAGGCGGCAAGCGGCGGCGGCGAATTACGGTGACGGCCACTGGAAAACCGAGATTCGAGATCAGCGGCAGAAGAGGTGCACGGATAGGCTGTGTGATTGGAAGAGTATGCTGAGGCATTGGGGGGAGAAGAACTGGACTTATAACCCCTACTTCCACCCTTCGCCGCCGCTCGTGAAACTGCGGTCCCGTACCAAACCACCGCCGGTGTCGTCGTCGTCTTAATGGCCATCAGTCAATGTTCAGATTTAAATTAATGCGTGATTATTTTTGTTTATTAAAATGGCGCAACTCCATTGATTTTCCTTTATTAGCTATTTAGGCCATCTCCAACAGTTAACACCATTTTTTACACCAAAATGGTGTAAACATCACATCAAACAGTATTTTAACTCCAACAGTTTACACCATTTTCATCACAAAAAAGGATTATTCTCTTTTTATTCTTTTTACTAACTTTTCTCCATTCTTCTATTTAAGTATCTAACTATCATATATTTATATATTAGACCCGATTAGACCACATTTGAGTAGTTATAAAAATACAAATAAATTAGACCAGACCACATCATTTCAGATCAGACCATATCAAATCAGACCAGACCAGAGCAGACTAGATCAAATCAGACCAGACCAGACCAGACCAGAGCGGACAAACCAATTTTAGTCCAACTAAAACATCCTAATTTGCTATTTTAAAAATGGGTCAAAACTATAATAATTAAAACTTGGAGGTAACATTTAAAAGGAAAAGAAAGCAAAAAGTGGGATGGTGTAATATATGGCGTACGCCATATATGGCGTGATTGCGTGAAGCAATCCTCCCTCCCCCATTTTGGTGTAATGGTGTAGTGTTTGGTGCCATTGTTGGAGCATTTTTTTGCAAAATACACCATTTTGGTGTGGCAAATGGTGCTTGTTGGAGATGGCCTTAGCTCTAGGCTAGATTGTATCTTCCCCTCCATTATTGAGTATTGAGTTACCTGAAACATGCTCATTCATTATGGGTCTTTCATACGGAGTATCTAATTTTTAGAGATTATTACTCCGTACTCGAAATGAACAAAAAAATTGAAAATTTTTAGAGTGATATCTATTTTAGGATTAATTATTGTCGTATTTTGAAAGTATCAGACTTCAAATATGACAGTATTTTCTAAAATTGACAGTAAATACTCTTATTTTGAAAATAAAAACATGACAGTTTATTTTGAATTTTCAAACTCTTTTAGTCTTATTTCGGGAATTTTCCCTAGCTTTTATTATTTTCTCTCTTCTTTATAACTTAGGCCAAATTTGATTTGAAAATGGAATAGAAAACTAAAAAGTGATTAGATACTTTGATAGTTTGGTCCATATCACACATGAATAGATTATAACAATATATTTGTTACTTTAAAATAGGTTTTCAAGACTATATATAAACAAAGTTGACAATATTTTATAACGGGTAGTGTAATATTTTTAAACAACTGACAATATTTACTAGTATTATTTATGGTAATTGTAACAAATACCCATAAAAATTGCAAATTATACTGTGGGATCGGCCCACCATGCCCATGGTGTGCCGATCCCAAAATGACATAGTCTGGTTAATTAAAAAGCATAGCAATTAGCAACTCGGCTGGAGAAGGAAAGAGTTCCAATCGCACAATCGCCGTCGCTGGCGACTTTGTTTGCCGGATTGAGATCCACACCAGCGACCCCTGTTCGTAGCAATTAAATCCCAGCAAATAAAATCCCACCAATCACCAATTAAATTCATACATATACGGGGAGTGTTTGAAGACAAGCAAAGCAAAGAGGAAGGAAAAACACGACATAGACTTAACCATGTATTAATCAAGGATAGGCTGTGTAGATTCATTTTTAATTACATATTCATAAACATGATTTACATTTTTTAAAAAACATGATTTACATTTCAATTTAGCTTAAGTTACATTTCAATTAATGCGATTTACATTTTCAATATTCAACATTTTCTCATGCGCGAGTTACATATTTTTATAAGCGAGTTACATCTTATGAAGCGCAAGTTACATTTGTCATCAACGCGAGTTACATTTGTAATAACAGGATTTACATAAAAAATAACCCCCTGCTACTGAAACAAAACGAAAAGATTTTTTAAAATCCTTGTGATGGTCATGATATTAAAAACAAAACATATTCACGATTTACGTAAAATAATTGTGTGGTTAGACTTTTCATTGTTTGCGTTGAAATCAATGTTTTATTTCTTATAGTATGTATTTGATAAGTTACATTTCAATGGACTTAAGATACATTGATCAATAACGTGAGTTACATATCTTTACATGTGAGTTACATTATTCATACTACTGGGACAAAAAAAACAGTTACTGTACATGCGTGCATTGGTCACGTGTTATTGTTCATGCGAATTTTTTTAAAAAAAATTGTGCAAAACTACGTCGTTTTGGGTGTGGGAGCACGGTGCTCAACGTGAGGTGATACCATGGTATACAAACTCCATAAAAATATTTAAAATAATTTTTTCAAATAAAAAATAGAAAATTATTAACTGGATCTCATTCGGAGTATTAAATTGGAATATGCACAAGCATAATAAAGATATCATTCTTATAGTCCATTTCGTAATGAAGGATGCTTTCAAATGGGTAAATTTGTTTTATTGTCAAAAAGTGCTCTAGTGAAATTGATGGCTTCACCGATTTGGGACAATCGAGGGAGAGTCGCAAAATATAGTAAGAGCCAAGTAATAACTGAGTCGAAATTCTACAGAGTAAATGTATATTTAAAATTCAGGATTGTGTCCCATTCTAGAAGTTGGAATGTGATATTTATAATGTAAATAGGAATACTTGGTGAACAGGTAAAAATATCTAGCCTAATAATATTGCGCCACATGTAAGGTTGATTAGTGAGGTAATGTTGGATAAGCCACGCGTGTAAGATTGGCAGTTGGACACTGCAAATGATTGAGTGACACCAGCACTGGAGATAGTTGCCCGCTGATGATATAATCTATTAGTCGTGTATCAATTGTATCAACAACATCTAAGTCCACAATGCATGTATGAGGTCTTGATCACGACTCAGCTTGTATGTAGAGATGTCTAACCCATATGTGAGTGGTAAGGTCTAAGGTTAGGGAGCTCGAGACATAGATCGGGTGTACCAGGCTCGACTTGAACGGCGACTAGAGTTATCTCATTGACCTCAAAATTTGACGCCGGATTTGGCTTTGGGCTCCGTTAGTTGTTGCACTATATGTGACCTTGACCTCGGCCAAGGTCGGCCTCGGCCTTGGTTGCAGTTTTTGATCTATCTCAATGATATTAGAGACGGTTTTGGACTCAGACTCGACGGGCACAGTCTCGCCCGGGTTTGTCTTAGTCGATTGTGGAGGTTCCTTTATGTGAAATGGGTACCCATCTTGTAATATGTCAAATTACTCCATAATAAATATTACTCCATGTAGGAGTAACGACTATTTTATAAGACTTGACGTAACATGACTCATTTTTATTAACAAGTAATTTTGAATCAAATCACAATCGCGCCAATGGATAATTGAAATAATCAGAGGTAACGATTTACTGAGTATATTATACTCTTTATACGTATTACAAAGTATAATCTTTTAAGAAACATCCAACAATCATACTCCACCGCTTGTATACCTTATACTTATTTATTTTAATTTAGGCACAATGTTGGGAAAATGAAAAATTGTTTGTTAAAAATTGTGCAAAAAAGAAGAAAAAAAAGACCAAGTAATATGAATTAGAGATAAAAAATCGTAACAGGAAAAAAAGTTCATATTAAGATAGACAAAAGAAAAAGAATGGAGACTTTGGGAAATGCTTTCCAGTATACTCATATTTGGAGAAATGCTTTACAGTTTCAGTACTCAGTAATTGAAATCCCAAAATGGATTCGCTCATTCTCCACTTCCGCTTTATTTAGCCCAAAGGACAACTGGGAATCTACATGAAAAGTATTCCGATAAATCATGATGATTAGTCGTTGAACTCCGAAACCGCCCTATTGAAAAGAGAGCTCAATCCATTGAATAAAGAAATCGAGAAATCTGAATATAATACTACTAGAACAGACAATGTACATCTAATCTAACCCATTTGGTTCTGATTAAGAAAGACTTTTCAATAGATTAATATCAAAACTGCTCCCATCCGCCATCGCAGACCACTCTGTTTTTCTTTTCCTTCTTCCAAAATTCTCGTGTATACTTGTTTTACAATCCAAGAAATCGCTTCGTCCATAACCCACGACCCACCACCTTTCACATTCCCCATTTCCAGATTTGGAATTCCATACCCAAAACCTTCAGCTCCCCCATTGCTTCTTTAAATAGACAAATTCACACGGTAAGCTTTTCCTGGGATGCTATAGCAGTGGATCTTCTTAGTCTCCTACCGCCTATTATCTGGCGTTTGTACTTGATAATTCCTGCCTTTTCTCTTGTATTAGTATCGTTATGCGGTAAAGTTGGAATCTTTTTGTGTTCCCATCAATATATGGGTTCGGATAAGCTTAGCAGTTTCAGTAGAAGTGTTTCATTTAAACAGAGGGCCACGAATCTTGGAAGCCCTAGATTTAGTAGGAAGAGCTGGGTTTCAAGAAACTTTACAGTCCTAATTGTGTTTGGATCTGCTGTTTCATTTCTTTTGGCAATCAGTGGGGGGTATTTGTATGTCCTCCCAAGCCTTACCAAAGCATTTCATGAAGTTAGTATTCCCACCACCTCCAATGGTGGTGAGTGTGATATATATGATGATGGGGATTGGGTTTTAGATAACAGTTACCCATTGTACAATGCCTCAGATTGCCCTTTTGTAGAACAAGGGTTTAACTGCTTGGGGAATGGTCGGACTGATAAAGACTATCTCAAGTTGAGATGGAAGCCGAAGGGGTGTGACATTCCAAGATTTGATGTGGAAAGTACCTTAGAAATGCTCCGCAACAAAAGGGTTGTTTTTGTTGGTGACTCTATGGGTAGAACACAATGGGAATCTTTGATTTGTCTACTAATGACCGGGGTCCGAGATAAGGCAAGCGTGTTTGAAGTGAATGGCAATCAGATAACGAAGCAGATTCGGTTCTTAGGGGTGAGGTTTGGTTCCTTTAATTTCAGTGTGGAGTTTTACAGATCAGTTTACCTTGTGCAACATAATTGGTCGCCCAAACGTGCGCCTAAAAGAGTCAGGTCAACTCTTAGGCTGCACAAATTGGATGATATTAGTGCTGAGTGGAGAAATGCTGATATGCTCATATTCAATTCCGGTCAGTGGTGGGTGCCTGAAAAGCTCTTTGGAACGTAAGTATGCTCTCTTCTTTTCTTGTTGGTAAGGTTCATGCCGATTATTTATTTATAAATTCTTCTTTTAAGTACATTGTGCATTGTTTAGTTTTCGTACAAAGTATGCTTGTGATATTTTAGAAAAATGATCCGTCTATGATGTGAGGTCACATTTACATAAACACAATCCTCTTTTAGAGAAATAAATATATTCTGTCTACAAATGAGGATGATCACTTCTGCATTACAATAGTTTTTCAGATCTTCTTTTATAACTTAACCAACATATATGTATTATAGATCAACTTCTTGATATATGCGGAACTCATTAGAAGAAAAGACGTTGATGATCAAAATATTCTTAAAATTTTATGTAAATGTTTGCTTTGGTTCGGCCTAACTCTGTTTTCAATCCCTTTTGTTAACAGAGGATGTTATTTTCAAGTTGGTCACACACTCAAACTTGGAATGTCGATTCCTCTGGCATTCAGAACAGCTTTACAAACATGGGCAAAATGGGTTGATACCACCATTAACCCTAATAGAACACGCGTATTTTTTCGAACCTATGAACCTTCTCACTGGAGGTACCGACTTGTCATTATTTTTCTTATACATTAAGTAGCTCTATTAAACATTGTATTTTGCTTTCCAAATACTGTTGAACAATGAAATTATATTAAACCCATGTTTACCTTTCCCTATAATTATATTATTTTTTTAACCATGTTATTATAAGAACTATGTACGTTTTCATTTGTTTTAGAGAATAACTAACCTCTCTTTGCTATTGGTATTCGAGAGTTAAAATGAAATTTCATTTGTTGAAGGGATGTTATTCATTTTAGGTCTCTATTAAGTATTTGAGCCTTTAAAAATATTACATGGAATGCCCAGAATGGATTTATGCGAGCCAAATCAGTGTTTTTTAAGGAGGTTGACTTGAAATGTAGGAATGTACAAGGGTATATAACAATTTTTACACTGACCTGCAGCAAAACTAATATACATTGAGTGATGAAAACATTCTACCCCTGTCCCTGAATAAAGATCCTGATTACGATGTTTGAGTGATAGGGAAAAGTTAGTTCTCCTTTTAATATTTAAATTAGCATCAATGCTTAAAATTTACATATTTAGAAAGTACATTAGAAGTTCTATTGATGTGCAAAAACTGAATTCGAATATGATTAAAAAAATTGATGTATAAATTCAGATACTAAAAGTGGTTTAAGTTGACCATATGGATAGTAAACAAGAACTTCTTTTTTAGGGGAGGTACTATTTCCACGCATCCTACTAGTGATAGCATTTGTTTTTGTTCAGCCGCAATATACTGATTTTTACCACTCAAAAAATACTCCCTCCGTCCCGAACTGTGTGTCTTGTTGGGTTTGACACAATTATTTATAAATTGGTTGAAAATTAAAATTGTGGTTGACGTTTGAGTAAAGTAGAAAGAAGTGATACAAATCACATATTTATTGCCAAGAAAGGAAAGAGGACATTTGTTTTGGGACAGCCCAAAAAGGAAAACAAGAGGAGTAGAATAAAATGGAAATTCAACTTCTTATTTGTTGAATGAGTAATGTTTAAATGAACATTTGCTTCAGGAATCTAACACTGCGCGAATGTGAAGTTCCAAACCAACCTCTTTTAGAGACTAGAGGACAGGACAACAGTTCGTTCTCAGATGCCATATTCAGTGTCGTGAAGACGATGACGATTCCTGTTACTATAATGCATATCACTCCCATGTCAGCATTCAGGAGCGATGCTCATGTGGGCACTTGGGGTGACAAACCGTCACTATCTGACTGTAGCCACTGGTGTCTACCTGGAGTGCCCGATGTGTGGAATGAAATACTTCTATCCTATCTTCATTCAACGCACTCGTCTACTATTTGGGAAAGGTAAAATTATTGCCATTAAATTTTTTCCCTGTTGGGTTCTTTTGCATTTCTACCTATAAGCGAAGTGCCTTATATCATGGTCAATGGTTCCTCAAAATCATATGGCAAACTCGAATAGGCACTAGATGTCTTTTTAAACATGTTCATTTTCAAAGAGATGCGTTTACTGAGATTTTTTTGTTGTTGACATAAATATTACTTTCATACCAATCACGTCTCTCGTTAATTTGCACTTCTGTTTTTAGTCAATCCACCCTCCGACAACCTCCATTCGAAATTAAATTGATGTTGTCTCTCACATAGCTCGGATTTCTCATCTCCATGTTATTTTTTCTGGAAATGTTTTGCTTTTATTTTTACAGAGCTAGCCAGCCTAGGAGAGGCTTAAATTAGAAGTGGGAATGGCGACATTTCACTTAACCCCAACTCTTAGGTTAAGAAAGAGGGGCTAAATATAAATAGCGTCACTTACAGGGATAAACAATAATAAAAACCATAATAGAAACTTGTTTTCATGTGCAGGATGACGAGTAATTCTACAATTGCAAGATAGCAGCAATTTTGCACAGAAAATGTATAGTTACAGAGAGAATTTTGTCTGGGAATTTGATCTTTGTTTCATAATAGATTTATGATGAAGAGTGAAAAATGATCATTCCTTCAGGTTTCTCATAATCTCATGAGTTAAACACTGTCACATCTTGCAGCACTTCATTGATGATGGAAAGGAAAATGGTTTTTCTTCAGTTCTTCACCTACATGCATATTTTGATTCAGAACTTAATTTTGAAGTTGGATAATCACTCCCCCCTCTCTTTCCATTAGGTCATTGCATACATACTAAAAGAGGTAATTTTTAAAATTATAAAATATTATAACAGCACTAGAGTATCCCTGTAATTTTTTAATGAAGGCATGCTAGATTTGTCTAGTGGCAGAACTAGAAATATTGTATAAAGGGAGCAAAAGTTTGAAAAACTGTACTGTCGTAAAGCAATGCATAATAAGGGGACTACTAAAGAATCTTTGCGTACGGTTTAAGATATCATAAATAATTTGCACTCCAAGTTGAATAGAAGAAAAAAGTTGTATGCTTTATGGAGAAGGCATTATACTTGCAGTCCCGTTTTGTGGACATGATAGTTTGTACACGCCCGTCAAATTGTGACATTTTATAAAGAAAACCGATTTCCACACGGATCGTCGTTTCTGATCAAATTGTTTGTACATAATTTGATTAACGTGTACAATGGCGTGTACAAACTAACGTGCGCAAAGAGCATTTTTAACGAAGAAATGATATTAATAGTACACATTTTAATAGTATATTTCGTATAATATTTTATTTACACCAAAACTGAAATACGTCAAAATGTTGTACGTCACTCATAGTGACTAAGAGGCTGTTTGGCGACACTGTTTTTTGGCTTTTCAAGCTTATCAGCCAACTTTTTCACGAAACACGTAACTTTTGTTTTCGCGCGCTGAATTGTGTAATAAGCAGGAAAAGTAAGGTTGGAGTTACTGTATTGGCTGAAGTTACTGTAGATGACCATTTTAGCTATTTTTACATATAATTTTTTCTTTATTTTATTAATAAAATATATTTTAGAAATAATTTTTTCTTAAATCGGCAGAATCAGCCAATGCAGCCACTTCATCCCGAACTTCATAAATTTCACCAGAGTCAGCCAAATCAGCCGATTGTCGCGCTACCAAACAGGCTCTAAGATGGCTATTATACAATATTACAATGACTATGTTATCTTTTGCATATATTGAGAAATGATTTAGTGGCTTTTTCAGCTTTTCAATAAATCCTAGGGAAAAGGTGCAAATAGGCCCATGTACTAACCAAAAAAGGTCAAATAAGCCCTTATTTAGGAGGCTTTGTCTGGCCGTCACCATTTGGAGTGGTTCCCGGTAGAATTTTTTGATGAAATTTTTTGAGCATCTTATTCATTAAGTCTAGTTTACTCATACCAAATTTCAGCTAAAACTTCAATCGGGCAGGCATTCAAATGAATTCTTGAAAATAACCGCGCAGTTAGAAGCGCAGTTATCTTCAAGAATTTATTTGAATGCCTTCTCGATTGAAGTTTTAGCTGAAATTTGGTATGAGCAAACTAGACTTAATGAATAAGATGCTCAAAACATTTCATAAAAAAAATCCACCGGGAACCACCCCAAATGACGACGACCGGACAGAACTTCCTAAATAAGGGCTTATTTGACCTTTTATGGTTAGTACATGGGCCTATTTGCACCTTTTTCCTAAATCCTATTACTTAATGCATAATTTTTAATTTCGTGTGTTAAATTACTTAGTGATTCAGTGTTATCAAAAATAGAGTCGCAATAATTTGGTATGAAATGATGAGATGTAAATATGTGATACTTTTAGTGATATTGCGTGGAGTATATTACTATGTGTGACAATTATGTAAGATATTTTAACTTAGTTTTTCAACAAATTCCAAAGTTTATTAGTTTGCCTCAAACAAAAAGGAAAATAATTTAAATATCCCAAACTTTGAAAGGTTGTAAAGTAAGTATTCTAAATTGACACATGTAATATATATACTCCAAACTTTATAAACAAAGATATGTTAGTACCACTTCATATGTTTTTCTTTCAAAAATGTAACTTTGTGGTCTTAAATATATAATTCAAAATACGTAAATCATTTATGAGGATGTACTTAACATTAGATTGAATAGGATGTAGTATTAATTATTTCACAAATAAAACTTTAGAATGTTAATTGCATCCTAACTTAATGTATCTTAAATTATGTACTTATCACAATAAATTTATATTTAAGAAAGAGAAATATAATCTAATGGTACAAAAATGACTTTTATATAATGTTCGAGGTATGTATATTACATATGCAAGTTTGAAATATTTATCTCATTTGGTGTATTCGAGCAGTGATAAGTTTCATGTTCTTTTCAAAACCGAAATGGCCAATTGACCACACTTGCTACTAGGCATGGAGCCAGGTCGGGCCGGGCCGGGCCTAGGCCTGGTCGGGCCTTTTGTGGTTTGGGGAAGGCCCGGGACTGGGCCAGGTCCGGTTCGGGCCAGGTTGTTTTTTTTTTGTTTTTTTTGCTTTCCCTAACTACCCCTGACCCCCCCCCCCCCCCAAACATTAAGCCCAACCCAGGGAGAACCCAAAAAAATGAAAAAAAAAAAACATTTTGGCCCGAACCGGGCCCGGGCCGGGCCACGTCTCCATTTTAGCTACCCGAGCCCGCCTTGCTTTTTCCCTATAACCGGGTCATAGACCGGTTTGGGGCCCGAAGCGCCGGGCCGGGCCGGGTGGCCCGAACCGGGTCCAAGCATACTTGCTATAACGGCCAGCATCAAAGGCTCAAAGCGTGGATATATGTTGCACCACTCTTTCCAGCAATCCAGCACCTAAAACTGATTTAGTTAGTTCTGACTTCTGACTAACAATAATTCACATTGCAAATTATGCCGGGTAATTTCATCAAAATTTGTTTCCACCTCACCTCACTCTAGAATCATTTTCAACTAATTTTCCACATTGTCGCTGCCTTGGTGGCTGGTATCCTACAAGGACTTGGTCACGGTCACGGAGCAGTCCGGAACGGGGCCTGCTATGGTGCAGGACCGGACCGGGCTCAGAAAACCGGTCCCTAGGCAAGAGCTGGTACCCGACCATGTAACAAGCGGTCCCGATCCCGGTTACAGACCCAACCCGGTTCTATGTAGCCAACAGTCCGGCCAAAAAAAGATAAGAAAACATTAACAGGAACCAAATCCGGTACAAGGACCGGACCGGCCGGGTATTCCGTCAAATTTCAAATACCACTTTTTTATTAGTGTTTTTTTAGCCTTTTCTATTATACTCAAATCATAGTTATGAAACAAAGATTACATACAGAGACATTTTTAGTGCAAAACATAAATTGAGCATTGCACATCAGGTAAGAAACATCAAATTATTTCTGATAAATAGAGTAACGGCTTGCATGAAGGAAATCTATAATTTGAACCGACTGCAAGAAGGAAAACTGGGAAGCCAGGGGGGATCCCTGTCCTCTCTCATCTTGCAAGCCTCTTAGGAGCACATATACACTCAGGGTATGGATTTTGGTAAAAGGGTTCTTCAAACCTGAAGCGTGCCCGACCTTTTATTCCAGCTGGGGCACCTTTTCTTTTTCTAGGAGTACCTTGTCTGCAAAACCAAGAAAGATTTACGATTTGGTCATCATCACATCTAAAGAAACCAAAAAATTGGACAGACGAGCAAAACAAATGGCCACATCACCTGTCCTGATGCAATCTGTTCACAAGATGTGATAGCTTTGGCCCTTCTTCAAGCTGCCCAGCTTCCAGCTGATCAAATATTTCAACAAGGCCTTTCCTGTTCATCATTAGCAATACCCGCACTTAGACTGTATATAAGGGTTTTTTTCTATCAAGGAGAAGGAAATAGTTTCCTTCAAGATTTCATATAACAACTTCTTTAGCAAACGTAAAGCAAAACATCTAAAACAGTTGATGTCAGTGGATGATCATTAATCATAAGTTCATAACAAACTAAATACGCTAATACCCCTCGCATTTTATCTCCTCTAGTTGCTATTCTGTTGTCAACCCAACAATTTGTTTACTTTCTATTTTCTATTTTAAAAGTCAACATTATTTGTGTTACATAGTGCTCATACTTTTCAAGTAATCTCTGTCTCTCTCTCTATAACTAGAGTAATTCAACTAAAAGTTACAACAAAGACGACAACAACAACAAAATGTGAACAAGTTCAGCGATGCCACATTGCTCAAGTAGGACATGAAAATAGGAAGTGAGGAGTAATTTTAGAAATTTTAGTCTTAAAAAATGAATTGAAGTATGGGGCACTTTCTATGATTTAGCACAATAATAGTAACCAAAAGTGTCTCACAACTTAAACTGCATAATTGAGGAAAAGGTTAAAATCGCATTTTTAGAAGTACCTACCTGTCAGGAGTGATCGTCTTCCGGTGGCCTAAGAATCTACGATGCCCCTCAACTGTTCTTGCCATGTTACCAGAATGTGATGGAATAAAAACATCACTTTCAATAGAGATGATATAGTCAATTGCTGCACTTTGTGATGCGTGACCGGAAAACTGTCTCAGTTCCTCTGGGGTCGCAAGCATCTCCTGCCCAATTATTACATGACAACACACGAGAAAGTGTGAATCTTGAGAAGTGATTTGCTGATGGATTACAGTATGAAACCCCACCCTAAAGAAAATATTTACCTTTGAAACTACATTTGGAAAGCGGGAAGTAAGCTCAAAAAGGTGACTGTTACCACCATAGATTTCTCCAGCCGCAATGTAAATTAATGTTGACTCAGGATAACCAAGAGCTTGAAGAAAAATTCCAACCTCCTTGGGCGTAAGTGGGCATAAACCGCCAATTCTCTGCTCAGTAGAATTGATATTCTTCATCTTCCAATGATTTGTATTCTCCCTAGTAACAAATTGAATTTAACAAGATGTCTGGACAAACGAGTCCTCAAGTAGAGATTATAGGTATTGGTATAATCTTCCATCTAGGGCATAAATCAATAATATGTATGTTAATAAAGCTATATTTGAAAATAAAAATTATGAGGCCTATGCATTTTTTCCCTGCAAGTAGTTTGATTTGCCTATTTTAGCCCCCATTTTTAAATGAGCAACTTAGGTGCCTCTACCCTGCAATTTGTGAGAGCTCATTCAATATTAGCCA